TAATAAAATGTGTTACAATTTTCGGGGGTGCTTATTTTTAGCATATATATAAATGTGAGGGTGCTTATTTTCGGGGGTGCTTATTTTCGGAAGTATACGGTATTATTTAACCAGTCGCTTTAATATTTGCAAACATCTAGTATATCAAAAAGGAAGTGTTACGCCTGAATTTACAATATAAAGAGAAATTCAAAGCCACCTTTTTTGACAGAAAACAACATTTTTACATCTATGGAAAACAAGGAGAATATCAATAATAATCCTTCCAATGATAATTATAGTAATTTATTTACAAATGAAGAATTGATTGATGATAATGACATTTTTGATGATTTGATTAATGTGACTAAAAAGGCACTTTCTCTTATTGAAGAACAGAAATTGGTTGGAAACGTTAAATGGTGCAAAGCTATAAAAAAATCTTTCGAACCTATTATTAAATTAGTTGATGATGTTGAAAAATATCAAAGAAAAAGGACAATGCCATTGACATGAAAAGGTCATACAAATAATGCTCGCTATTTGCAATAATTATTCATATATTAGTTATGAATATTGGGAATTTAATATATGTATTAAAGGCATGGTGTATATGCGTCAATTTTATTCATGTATGCGTTAATTAAATGTAACAATTTATAATGCGTCAATACAATTTAATATATTTGTATTAAAATCAATAGGCAAAAAAATGAAATTTTATTACCCTTACGCATTTTCACCACAAATATCAATAAAGATCATTAAAATTAAAATTAAAAAAATTACTCTTACGCATTTTGGCTTTGAAAACAAGTTGTAATTTTAACCAATGATATGTCATGTTCAAGCCACAAAAAGTCACGTGCCGAGCTTTTTTGTCGGTGACGCTAGGGGAGTTGTAATATGGACATTGATCATGTGAAATTTATCAAAAAAAAAACACACGGATCAAGGTAACATTATGGACGTTAGATCTTAATTGATATGCAAATTTTTATTCACGAAAAAATTCATTTGTAAATTTATTTATTTAACAACATTCAATCTAAACAGTATAATATTTTTTTTTATGTAGAAAAATGTTTGTTCTCAGCGATAGTACTTTTCCAACATTCACGTTCGCTAAGGTTTTTCCACCACTTAGAGATATTAGGTCGGTTTTCAATTAAATCACCATGACCGAAATGAACAATACATTGCATAATAGTACTATGTAAAATATCGGCCAAAGAAAATTCACCAGCTAAATAATCTTTACCCTCCAATAACTTTTCATAAATATCAAAGACCTTATTAAGCTCTTCGCAAGCTTCCTTAACAACTTCAGGATCTTTAGCGACACCCTCATGTTTTTCGTTAAATTCTTGAGAAATTAATTTTTTTGCCGGATCACTAAAATAAGAATATCCCACCGAAATGAATTGATTCACCAAAGCAGCCTTTTGTAAATCGGTAGGAATAAGAATGGTAGAAGTTTTGGTTTTTTGATATTTACTAATCAAATAACGAGCTATTGCACTAGATTCGTAAATTTGGAATCCATCATCGATGAGAACAGGAACTTTTCCGCTGTAAAATGCGTATAAATCAATAACTATAAATCTTTTCCGTTTCTGAGACGTAAATATTTCGTATCGGGTAAAAAAAAAAAATACTCACAAGGGATGTTTGGTGGCCAAATATTCTGGTGTCTTTATATCTTCGAGTTTAGCTGGTGCGCTAAGTTTATAATCTATTCCTAATTCTTTGCAAATGCTGACCAAAAAAAGAGTGAAACCAGATTCCGAAAATGTGATGAATTCAATAGCCATTTTTTTTTTTTTTTATAATTTCAGGTTGATTGAAAGCGAGAGAAGGGAGAGAAGGGAATTTTGAGGCGTATTTATTATTTATGATAGCCCTATTACCGTTAATGCAAATTTTTGCTTATTAATACAGTTGCCAATAATTGCTTGATTATTTGTTAAGCTTTTCTCTTATTCTACCGATATGGTTAAATTTATAAATAGAAGTATAAAATGTATATTGGCGGAGTAATAATGAAACTTCTTTTGCTTATATAATTACTATAAATAGCCGAATTTTTCCGTGATTTGATTCCGTGATTTTTCCATTTAAATCTTACGGCGAATTTTTGATGCAGACTGAATAAATTTTAATATGACTCATGCTGATTAATCGGACTATTAGAATTTATATACAGACCCCCGCCAAAAGTCTCCGAACGCTTTTTGACTCAATGTAAAACTTAAAATTTTAAAGTTTATTAAAAAA